TTACGATGCTTAAAAGTACGTGCAATTAGACGTGAATTTACCCGATCTAATCGTGATCTCGTCCGATATCGGCATTCACAGTTCAATCAAGAGGGAAATTTTTCCGTCTGCAAACTAATTCGCCAATTTAGTCGCGTGAGTAATCTTAGTTGAAAGACAGAGTTGAATTATTAGAAAAAAATTGAGTTGCGCGTCGTCGACGAATTAATACTATACTAATAATAGCGATAACACTATTACAATGAACTGAAATAATAGTTTATGATTATTGTTCACGCAGATAATATCTTTAAATCTACCTCATAGATAAAATGATGCTCTTATGATCGCAGCAACAACTTTTGCGACGAAAATTCATATAGGAAAAAGTAACATATAAATAAAAATCCATATGTAAATTAATATTCAATTGCTAATTAAATAGATAAATTATTTAAATGATAGTTGAACAATTAACAGCTAAAGAATGCTTGATAAATTCAGACTTGCCAGCACATTGTTGCTATCAAGTATGATATATATAAAATGTCTGTGTTTTTATAAATTTCCGTAGACGTCGAAATAATTAATTTCTTGTCCAAACTAACCTCAGTTTTCTAATTGTAAGTCTCTAGTTAAATCTGTAAGGCACGAAGAACTAGCAGTTGGATTTGCTTTCTCACGAGTCTCTCGGTAACACTGTAAGATATCCTCGCCTGAGGGTGCACTCGACGCCTCAGGGCGAGCAATTAAACATGATTATCCCTCATTAAGGACGAATTCGAAGGACGAGGCACGGGTTGCGTAATTGTGGGAATGAATCGTCCGCGTCTTCTGTTTCGTTCGTGTTGTCCTCTTTTCTTTCTCCGATGCCGATGTACGTCGCTCCTTGAACGCGCATAGCTGCGTGTATTGAAACGTTGCGTGCACCCACGCTGGAAATTGATCCACGTAGCCGGAAGCGACGCGGGGATTATTGAACTCCCGCGAAAATGCTTTAGAAAACTTCTTTTTTCTTGTTAAAATCTCGCAACTTCCACAAACTGAGAGCAGAACTCAGAAAGTAAAATTTTCCTTATACGACGATGATTTGTATTTTTGGAAAGTACGAAACTCGTAAGATTTCTAATAAATTATTTACGAATCGCGCGCACGCGAGACATCGAGATCTATGACGTCAATGATTTAAACGTATAAGTGAAGATGTTTTCTCTCTGACGATCTTTACGAAGCAAAAAACTAATCCTAGTCGTAGCCTTACTATTTAAAACGTGCAGTCAGAATTCTTCGAGTTCATTATTTTAACGAATACATCCTTCTTCCGTGCCATCTGTTAGTTTTTTTTTTTTACAATGACATTACACAGGCTGCATTAATTTTAATTTTTGTACCGTGTATGCTGTATGATAAAAACGTTAGCAATATTGTCCCTGCATTGGCCCTCGCATTTTTATTTGCCGTTATCCAGCGTATCATTATCGCGACAGGTTGTTTATCTTGCAAGACGAAGGGGAGGTATTCCTACCAAATGTGTGCCACGAGTCAACAACTCGGTGCGCGTGGTTGTTTGACTGTTTAACTTTCCCAGACCAGAGAGGAGCGGTCCTGGACGTATATATCTACCTGCACTCAGAGGTTCCTAAAGTTTCTCAAATGTTGTCTCAGGCGGGTTAGATACCACAACGTCGCGCAAGTTCAACCCTAGATAACAACATTCCTCCTCGAAACTAGGCGTCTGATCTGAGAAGACGCTACGGCCGCGCTAAATCCATTATACATTTAAAGTTCTCGCCGAATTATATCCTAATTAAGTATGTCCTAATCCTGCCTTGTCTTGAACATTCGCGAAGAACAAAATTATATACGATTGCTCGATTTTCGAATCACAGCATGTATCCAATAATCCGGAGTAAGATTAGCATGACGATTACGAACGCACGTACGTTCGTTGTACGTGTTCACACACGGGTACCACGACAAGACGGCAAATCTTCGATGACGTTGGCGTCTCACCTTCGGCCTGATCATCGTGAACACGCGTACGCGTGTATCTTCATGCCGCGCAAACGTGACGTCGATTTGTTATCTATCGGCGATTCGCGAATAACGCGTGACACTGTGTCAGAAATTCATGCTGAAGAATTCGACGGCTTATCTTTATTCAGAAACTCTCCCGATACGGAGTAGATATGTGTTGCAATACAATATTGAAACGATGCGTGCGAATAACTATATGAATTCTTATCTAAATGTTAAAGTTAGACTAAACGCTTTTTCTTTATACATATAAGAAACGTGACGTCGATTTTTTATCTATCGGCGATTCGCGAAATAACGCGTAACTATCAGAAATTCATGCTAAAGAATTTGATTGCTTATCTTTATTCAAAAATTGCCCCGATACACAGTAGACATGTTGCAATATGAAAATGTTGCGTGCGAATGACTATTTGAATTCTTCTACATCTATATGTTAAAGTCTTATTCTTTCTATAACACTTTCTTGTGTTCAAATAAAATCATCACGAAAAATTTAACAATTGCAACTGTCGATTACTTATTAAGATTACTTGAATATATTTTGCTTACATATACATATATATATATATATATATATATATATATATATATTGTATTTTATATTATAAAAATAAAGAGAAATAAAATGCTGCGTTACGTAATAATACGTACGGAAGTTGCATGGAGAGCTGCTTGTTCGAATGAGTGGCAAATGAATATCTTACTACAACCTGACGCATCAAAGAGAGATCGCATCACCCGAAGCCTGGTCTCATTTTAACAGGTGTACGCGTTATTTGATCAGTCCCTTTCCCGTGCTATGTTTGTTTTACGTGACGCTCGTGTGTCCGAGGCGCGCGAGGCGGCCTAACGAATCACAGAAAGGCCTTCCGACGTTGCGCGCCGCGTGGGCACAAATACGTTTGCGCGGGTAAGAAGAGGGGAAACGGAGGGAGGGGAACGCGTCTCTCTTTTTTTTTCACGTTTACTTAGAAGCAGATGCATTAGAAAACTCGTATGACGACCCATCGACGGCCTCTCGATGCGAATACTTAATGCCACTCACTCCACGTTTTTCCACGTATCAATCGAGATATTGAGAGCCGGTACGAGATGCCGGCTATGCGGTAAAGCGAACTCGTAATTTAAACGACTCACGTGCGCAGATGATTTCATTCAGTCGACGCGGACGCACGCGTAAGGATTGTGAAATACACCGTTTAAATCAGCGATGGAAATCTTAAGTAATGACACCGGTGCTTTCGAGAACGGATGTTTTTAATTGCAATGATGATTTTTTAATGTCTTTTTTTCTTAATGCGTATTTCACCGCTATCGAAGAGCGATAATTGCCGCGCGCGATAAGCGGAACACACTTTCTCGGATTCGCGGAGGCAAGAGAGCGAATGAATTTAAAACATTCCACTTTCATCGAAAGATTTCAGACTCGGGCGGTAACGATCGCGAAGAATCTAAAAACGTCGCCGAGATTTCGTAATAAAAGTGATCGAGATCGCTCCGCTCCCAGATAAAGAGGGACCTCCGAGGAGAGTCGAATGGACTCCGCCAGGCGGTTAAGATAAGTCTCGCCTGAGCGGCGCGCCACACGCCCCGACATTCGGCGACATTCGAAGTCATCGTCGCGTATAATTGGACCGCTTTATGACACCTTTCGCGACTCGCGCGCAATTGTACCTGCCTATGTAATGTTCGTCTTTAGATAAGTTAGTCCGCCGTCTTGTCGCACACGCGAGCGCGCGCGCGCGCCATTACGCGACCGCGACTGCGAGACGAAGATAAGCTAATCGGCGTCGTAAAAAGTGCAGTTTGCGGATGACGCCACGTGTGTATCACCAATGAGAGAGCACGGCGCGATACGGCGCATCGTTTTCAGCCGCAACGACGCGATACGGCATCACAACTTGGAAATTACGGGCGCACCTGAGACACGTACGAAGTATTACGTTGCGTTTCGGAGCGTGTTTTGTCCGCATGTTTGGAGAATGAAGAGCACGCGTTCTCTCTCTTTATTTGCCACCTAACACCGAAGCAGTCGCTCGTTAAACATATTCAGCAACGCAACCTCGTTAATCTTAGCGTTTGCTTGCACTAACGGTCGTTAACGCCCTAAGCGCGGACTATCGCGCTTAACTTGGTGTGTATTCCAAAACGGAATAGCTAATCGCTAGCCAAGATAACGTTAAAATTGTGGGTGTAATCTAGAATGGAGATACCCGGCAAGAAAGATTACAGTCTGTGCCTGTATATAGATATAAAAGGAGATAATAAATGACGATAATAATCTAACGTTCGTGCGGTAATAGGGGTGCGCCTACACCACGTTATTGCGACGACACAGTATAGTCATTACCGGATTTGCAGCGTTAACCGCGAATGATGCGCGATTTTGCACGGTGCCGACGAAAAATTTCTCAATTTCGTCGAAGCGATCGCGTCTCGTAGTCGAAGGAAGTCTTCACGGGTGGCCCATTATGTTCCTCAATGACAGCGGATTATCCACTGGTCCTTGAGGCCAGAGGGTCGCCACATGCGCCCCACGTAGCGGATCCTCTCTGCCTTCGGCTCTTGTTCAGAATTACATCGACCCTAATTTCCTTTTAACCAGCATTATCGTCTCCGCTATATTTCTCACCGGTAATTTGTCCCGCCGGACAGGTGCCGAAATGGAGGACCACACGAATTGCTGCCGGAAGGAACTCTAGGAAGCTATCGATCCTACCTGACAAAGACTACCTCTATATTTAAAGGACGATGCAATTTTCAAGAGTTTTACAATAACTCAGATCTTATCTACACGTAAATATTTAAAAAAATAGTTTCTTTTAAATTACTTTTTACATATATTAATTTTACATATATTGCGTATATATTAAAAGTTTTTTTATATATTTAGTTCTTTTTACTTTATTTTTTCTAAAATATCATTACGTAATTTTTTCAAATTTAATGATTTTTTAATTATTTTAAATAATAATAACAAATGAAAGAAAAAAGAGAAGTTTTTATTTAAAAGAAACATATGATCGTCCGAGTTTGCCGATGCAACAGACGAACGTGTGCATTTTCAGCCTTTTGCGCTCGTAAGGCAGAAAGCGTAATGCCGCGTAGCGCGAAAAATGTAAAAAAAAATAACGAAGGCGGGCGCGTGAGAGAGGAGGTTGCAGGTGGTCGGTGTCGTTGTACCTTTAAATGCGGGCCCATCCTCACACAAGATCCACGAACGTGACGGTCTCGGTGCTCGGGGCGTCACAATTTCGCACAATTATAGATTAGCCACACTCACGATTCGGCCCACACCTGTTGGGTCTAATCGCCGTCAACTATCTTGCATCTCAATTCACCGTGGCCCCGCGGAATATTGATTTTTTGCCGGCAATTTTTACGAGGCAAAATGTAACGTCTAACGACCGCGGATCGCTTTCGAAGGCGCGGAGAAGTAATGACGACCCAGCCGTTATCCTGGCGAAAACGAAACACGAAACCGAAAACTACGAAATTATCGTGCACGGTGGTCCTACCACACGCGCGAGGACTTCGTGAGTCTAAGAGATTCGTCTATTCATGACCGGATTCTGGATTATGATGACTAATTATCTTGCAAGCGACCACAAATCTTCAACCGAGATGAGAGCCCAGATTTTTTCTGAGAAAACCGATGAATAGAAATGTAATAATTATTTTCAAAAAAAAAAGAAAAGAAATATACGGGCGTTTTTAACTGCTTCCAGATTAAGAAAAATGACGAAATTAATGACAAAAATGGTTAATGTACCATTTACAACAATGCAATAAATTAACAGATTCTACATAATCATTTAAAAAAATGACAATCAAGATGTTATAATTATATATATAATTCAAATTTATAATATATAATATCAAATTCAATCGGTATACTAAAGTTACAAGTAGTCGAAATTGGACAATTTAAAATAATTAATGATAATTTTAAAACCTCAAAGAATATCCTGTGATATACATCGGAATACTCTCTCCGTCAGTCGTCACGCAAGAGTCAGGAAGGACCTTCATCCTGACAAATGACGCAAGCCCAGGCTCCGAGAACAGGCAACTCGGAATAATTACGCGGCTCCAGAAATACGGGAAGCTGGCGGACGGGAAGAAAAACATCGACGCGATCGCGCAGGGTCCAAAGCTTGAAAAATTAAAGTCGAGTGTCACCGTGTCGCCGTTGTGTCGCCATGCTTAAACGGATTTCCTGACAAATGAACGAGGCGAAAAGGAAAACGGAATACACACGAGAGATGGGGATGCTACAAGTTTCGGTTTGCTAATGGGAAAAATAGCTCCCGAAGTAGAGTCATGAAAATTTTCTATCTACGATAAATATAGTAATATGTAATTAGATTCTTTATAACTCGATGCATAAATTGTAAATTTTTTATTTCTTATCGTTAAAAAAATATATAAATAAAAAAACAAATTAATTCAAAATTATTTAGATTTGATAAAATAAATGTAAAGTCTAAATAATTATCAGATAATCAATATATTTTGCTTGCGCTTATCTAAATATGTATTTACATATTACAAGCAAAACCTGTTTATTTATATACACAGCGTCAATTTATTTATAATATATCCATCACGATTAATAATTATTAAAAACAAACAAAAGCCTTTTAAACAAATAAACACAAAATTGTTGCTAAATAAATAAAAATAAGAAAAAAGAAAGAATATTGCAATATATATCGTACATTTTGTTTTTATGTATATTTTATACAGATCAAAAAATATTCTCCAACTTTTCATTATTTCCTTTTTCTTTCTTACAAAAATTAAATGTTTTACTATTCTAAACGTAAAAAAGCCTTCTTTTCCTTATTTTGCAAACAATTTTTCCATTGGCATTGGTCGTGTAAAATAGAAGCTCATTCGACAAACGATAGTAGAAAAATAATGGTTATTTAGCGTGTCGCGTTGCGTGAGGGGGTACGGTGACTCATTATCGCCGTCACGGTACAGCGTGCAGCCCGGCATAAGAATGAAAAATACTGCACGGCCGCGTGGCAACCTCAAATGTACACGGTTAATCGCGCGTAATTGTTTCCCGGACTTTTTGCCAGCCGGCGCTCTAAATAGGGATCTCGTCAGAAATTAGGCGGGTGACTAATCGACACAGGAGACTCGGGCACGACGAGACGTGCCACGTTTGACTGATGATGCGGGAAAAGGCGGAAATTCCTGTGTGCACGATTAGTGGCTAAAAGTAGCTAACAGAGGGAGAGAAATTAAGAACCTGTTTGCAAGAATCTTTCCGGCGAGAAGTGTTTTCTTTAGCAGGACAGATATTTACACAGCGAACATCATTACTCATAATTAAATATGAGTCACAATTGTTACTTGAGCGAAACATTACACGTTTAAAGAGTTGTATTTCATTTCTCAATAACGAAAATTAAGTTTACAAACAAAATTTAGATCTAGTCGCAAAAGTTTCAACGTTACGTAAACATTTTAATTCGTGATGACTCTGCAGCTTCGAGCTCTGCCGACTATGCTTAATGGAATATGCGTCACTGTTTTGCTCGGTTGTTGCGTCCCAGGCCTTCAATTGAATTCGTGAATGCAGGCGTACGTCGATGCACATCGGCGCGGCGTGGCGCGGGGTGCCTTTGAGTGTGTGTATCGGAGTGTATCGTGGAGGATGCGCGCGAGGGGTCTGCCGAGCGAGGTAATGACTGGAGCTTCCTGCCGTTCACAAACTGCGAAGGAAGGGAGACGTCCCCCGTGCAGGATATCCGACATTTAATCTGATTTCTGGATTACATCGCCGTGTGGACAGCGGCGGGAAGGAACACTCTCGCACCCTACACGATCCTTTCTCCCTCTTTTCGTCTTTCTTCTTTCCGACCGCGAGTAAAAATAACTCGACAGACAACGATAATCTATAATTCCAATGTAGACGCTGCACAGAGAGATTCCAATTTAAAAATTACGACCAATCGGATAATTGATGATTGAATTGTAAAATTAACACACAGAGTCCTTAATCCTGTAATTAGCATGATACGATAAGCATCGAAAAATATTGTGTACCCGCGTACACAAACGTTGCATCGCACGCCGATACGGCTTATGCGACTCACGTTCTCGCGGCTATTGTGCGACGCGCGTTACCGGGCCGTGTGCTTCCCAGACTTCCTGTTTCACGACAGACCGTAGTCCTCCTTCCTGCAACCGTGGGAGATCGCGGAGATCTCTCGGCGGTTCTACCCGCGTAGCCATGCTTAATTGGCAGCGCCCGCTGCAACAGGCGCCCGCTTACTAATCGCCGTTATATCAGCGTAAAAAAAAATATAAGGTTATCTAGAGACGCAGTGAGAGGGACTTTTGGATCGCGTTACTTGATCGCGCGACGGCTCTCACGCGGCGAAATGATTCCACGCGCGTTCAAATTCGCGTGCGTGAACGAGCGGCGCTCGATGACTTTTGCACCGAGCATCACGCGCGGCAACACGACGGAGAAGATTTCAATAACGGCGCGTGCGATAACTTCAAGGTTTCAAGGGTGCTCGTAGAAGTTCGTGAAAATATATGTACTTGCGAAGTCAAGTGCTTACCATAAAAAAATAATGCAAATTTCACTCAACTAAACAAAATAATATTAACTTTTATTCTTAAAAAAATATATAAAATTATACGAGATGTTCTTGGCTCTCTCATATTTTTACAATTTCAACTTATATCAAATTGAGTGAATTAACGCGCGTGGATGGGAACGGGGTTTAGACGAGAGATGCAGACCGTCGCGTAAGTACAGCCGCATGCACCGCGGTGGGGATCGCGGCGTGCGTCGCGCGCGGTTCTCCCACGGAGACGCCTTCGCCTTGTTATACCAGTCGTAGTCATTACGACGCCGCCCGTCCATTCCCGGAACTTCGTTAACGTGTGTCCTTAAAGTTAAAATAGAAGCGTCGCAATCCCTAATTAACGTAGACAGAGCGAAGGGAAGAAAGATACATATTTACGAGACGCTCGGCGCATCTCCTTCGGCGACACACAGATATTCGCGGGTAATTCTCGGGACGACGTAACGAGCAGAAGAAGTTATCCTTGTCGTAGAAAATACAGGAAGGCATTATGAATGACTCGCGGGAAATTCACGCGCGAGGAATATTGTACACGTTCCGTACGAACGACCGCAAAACAACGCGGCTCTCTCGTCTTTCAATCGATCACCTTCGCGGATAATGGAAAATAATTGCTTTAAATCCAACTGCATGTGTCTGAACATGTAAAGCGTAAATCATTTCAATTTTTCTTTTGTTGTATAAGAGAAACGCATCGAACGTGCCGTGCACGGTGTAGTTTTTCATTCCGATGATTCATTTGCGTTGCGTATGTATAAAGTATATAATGTAAAATTTCAGCATAATTAAAAAATCATACATCGAATCGAAATACTTCTCTGCTCGCGTTGTGTGTTCTTTTTTTAGATACAATTTTTCACATGAAAAAGAAATAACAATAAAATTATTATATTTTAGCAATATTTTGATATAATTAGATACATTTAGAACACTAATAAGACGAAGTTTTGTCTAAGTGTTGCATAAATATGCCTAACAACAATACTAGCTGTAAATTATCAGTTAAGAATAAAATTTATATGCTTAATCCAGGTCAATCTGTTATTGAAATGCGAGAAGTGTCGCGGCTACGTCGAAAGTGAAATGACGAATTCGATCGCTTGCGATAATTTATTCGACTCGGTCAACGTCCCACGAGCTCGGATTCATAACGCAAGTATACGGTGGATGCCCGTGACACGTTCACATGACCCTTTTCCGCGGCGTCACAGTTCTCATGAAACACTAGACGCGTATGTGAATGGGAGACGTGTCGTTACGATACTTCCGGCGGATAACTGTGTGACACGAACAATATCAGAACGTAAATAAGAGTACGCGGAACTCCGGTAAGAGAAACCACTTGTACTCAGACATCTTTTGTCGAAAACAAAAAACAATATTGTTTAAATTATTAAATATAAAGAACTTATTAATTATTTAATTTTAAAAAATGCACTAATTCTGTCTGTCATTCCCTTCAATGCCATGTCATAATTATATTGTCTAGTCATGTTGTCTAGACAATAATTACAAAAAAAAACAGTTCGACATATGTATATTTTGTTAAGCAGTTTTAGTTACAAGTGTACTTCAAATTGGTAGATTTCGAAAATTTGGCAAAATATGTACAATTTTACCCAATTTAACGAAGAAAGCAATTTATAAAAATTGTAGACGCACTTTGCTCGCTGACTCACTAACAAAGTTGCATAGTTAAGGCACATACACTCACTGCAGGGTACGTATACATATGTATATGTATCGCGAGACCAAACGAGCACTTGAATCATCAACGAATATTGCGCAATAAGAAACGTAAAACTCGCGCCAATACGGTGAAAAACTTTTTGAAGGAGAGACGCGAAAAATATTTCCCAAATAACTTGGCAATCCTTAACGTAACGAGAACAAAATATGCATCTTACGTAATTTACCGAACTGTCACGGACGAACGGTGAAACTGCGCAGCCTAAAAACGAGTGAGAGTATCTGCGGAAGTCGGAATCGTGGGAGTAGGCACTCGGGATCACGCGGATGTTACGCAGCAGCAATGGTCACGCGAATAGGCGCGAGAGAAAAATGCGCCAAAGACGCATTATATATATATAAAAAAAAAAGGAAAAATATAGTGGAATTTTACTGGCAGGCGAAAATAATCGAAAGATAAAATTGTAATGTAATCGCAAAGTATGAAAAATAACGCAAATGACATGTAATTATTTGATAACATGTACAACTAATTGTGTTAAACTTGTATAAGTCATAACCTACCTCAAGGATTTCGTTGTTTTGTCCATCAGTGAAACGCATTTTGCGTAAATGTGCTACATTAACATAATAATACCTGCGAATGAATCGATCTTTCACGAAGGTGCATAAATAAAATAATCCAATAAAATATTCCAATCGTTGAGATTGGAAAATTTTAAAAATTAAGCTCCAAATGAACATGCACAAAATCGAAATTTTTATAATGCGGTGATATCGATAATTAATAATCGAATTAATTACATTCAAAAATATCTTACTATCGCGTATTATAATACGAATAATACGAAAAATAAACGTATATAATATAAAAAAAAAAATATATATATATATAAGTTATTAATATGTGTAATGTTAAATATGTATCAATGTTGGTTATCAGTAAAGGAAAAACTCGCTCATTATTCAGATAGCTGGTAACTGATAACGCGCAGTTGCATCATTGCGAAACTGCAGACATCGTTGGCGCGAAGAAAATTTTCCAGCGTTAAATGATGGTCGT